ACAAACACACACTAAAAACACGCACATTTAGTCAAAAAAACTCGCGAGGTCTCCGTAAATTCCGCGAGGTCGCGAGTTGGCAGGGCACTGGGCGCGCATGGGGAACACTCGCGCGGTCGCTGAGGGCTGCGCGCGCGCGCAGGTAGTGAACTCGCGAGATCGCGGTCGGATTCGCGCACGTGGAAAGACCACTCGCTGGTAGGCAAGCACGACACTCGAGGGCTGCACAGGTTTCGCGGGCGCGAAACGGATTTCGCGGGCACTGCTGGGCGGAACTCGCGAGGTAGCTGCCATTCGCGGGCACGAAACGAATTTCGCGGGCACTGCTGGGCGGAACTCGCGGGTTAGGCCTCTTTCGCGGGCGCGAAAAGGGTTTCGCGGGCTGTAGTGGCGTGCGGGCATGTGCGACTTCGTTTAGCTCTAACTTTTCGCACACAACTTTGATTCGTACGAAATTTGGACCAAAGTTCTCATCATTGAATTCTCTTTGTCCCAGTATGACTTGGTCGGATTTTCTGAGTTGGATGGCTCGGTCAGCTCGGACGGCTCGTCTCCTCGTTCTCGACACATTGGACCTATTCAACACCAAAACAAAAGAGAAAACGTGTAAAAATACGAAAACTTATACAATAATAAAAATACCCAAAATACGATAAAATGGACCAGACGACACAAAAACGAGCCTAAAACTATATAATAAAGCACACAAAACACATAAAAATAACGACAAAAACACAACAAACAATGAACACTTCTATCGTTACATGTCATCCATCCGAAGCCAAAAACCCAAAGCATTTGAAAAGCTAACTAATGAAATTCCGATAAATGCTTGGGGCGAGGTGTTTTACACCTGTACGGCGCTATGGATTCATGACATCCAATTCCTGTAAAAAGTTTGAACAACAAGCTCCTATGGCCAGGATGTTACTCGTTTGCTCGTTGTTGGAGTGTGTTAAGGAAACCATAGAGAAATGGTTTGTTGTTCGGCGTGCATCCGCCGAGGGTCGCAATCATCCGCTAACGCAGTGGACTCAATTGCAGTTGGATCCTTTGTTCGAGAAAGGTCGTACTATAACCATTACCACACTCGACATGCAACGCTATAAGATTATGGAAGAAACACGATCCTACGTGGTAGATTTAAAGGCAAAAACATGTGAGTGTCGTGTGTTTGAAACAGACCTACTACCTTGCTTACATGCATCTACGGCCATTCGGTAATGTTTACCAAACAACATTGTCATTTTTTTCTTAAAAAAAATTGTTATATTCTAATATGATGTGCTAATTTATTTTATGTAACATGGAAGACGGGTTAGATATAATGGATTTCATTAATGACCATTACAAAACTTAGTTGTAAAGATGTACCAAAGCAACATTAACCCCGTCCCGCATCCAGATGAATGACACTTGCCTCCAAAAATTATGCGTATAAAGGTAATTCCGCCAAATGATCCCAAACAAGCAGGTCGGCCACAGACTCAACGTTATTTCACTGGAGGAGGATCATCACGTCGAGTACGGCGTCAGCAGATATGCTCTCGGTGCAGGGTCACCGGGCATAACAGGGCGAAGTGCCCTCTATACGATGGTGTTAATGACTTTTTTTTTTCAAATGGTGAAGGTCAAAATGCACCAACTTCTCATCCAAGAACAACATTGAGACACCCGAGGAGATGTCGTACTTGTAAAGAAACAAGTCACAAATCGTCATCTTGTCCATCACGTCAATTCCATGACAATTCAGATGATTATGGAGAAGTTATGTATTGTTATGTACCTCATTGGAGTTTTTAATTGTGAATCAATTTAACGAAAAAAATATTTTTAACGGGAAAAATATTGTGTTGGTACCCTAAGTTGTGACCTGCACACAATTGACTAACAGAAAGTAGTGAAACTGGGTTGATTGCACAATTCGCATAACATGTCCCATAATAATCACACAATTGGGTTGATTGTGCGATTCCCATATCATGTCCTATAATAATCGCACAACTTGGTTGATTCGCAGGTTCATTCGCCTAGTCTTCAACCGCATAATTAACGAATCGTATATCCAAATCGAAAGTCGCATAATTTACGACTATCCGCCATTTTTTTGGCATATCCATATAGACCGCATTGATTGATTGTCTGCAACGCATATCCAAATCAAAAGTTTTTCGCATATTATTCGCATAAGTTATGCACAGCATTGATTGATTGTCTGCTTTTACACGTAAAAAACCTTGACGATTTGCGTGCTTCCTCATTTAGTTGTTGAGTTGATGTATATCTACCTAGCTTTAAATGTTATCTGTATGTATTAAC